GGGCGCTGCGCGGAGCGGCGCGCGGTGTTTTGTCTCCTCCTCTCCCAGTGGAGCGTCTCGGGCTGCCGGGGAGGCCCGGCTCCCTCCGGACGCCCGGCCAACGGCGGCGGCGGCGAGTCCGCGGCCCTGCCGGGAGGGAAAGCGACGCCGCGGTCTTTCTGGGCGACGCGGAGAGCAGGTAAGAGCGCGGACAGCAGAGGCTGTGGGAGGAAGCGCGGAGGGCGCGGCGATGAGACCTCGCTGTCCCGAGTGCCGCCGCCTCCCTCCGCGTCCCCCGCCCCGCGCCTGTGTTGTTTGCTCCGGGGTTTGCGGAGGGGTTTTCCGGAGGCTGTGGCCGTGACACCCGCGGGGAGCCGAGGGGGAAGGGGGTGGGTGCCCTCGGGCAACGGTCGGGGAGCGGGACTCGGAGAAAGGGGAAGGCGCGCTCCGCGGCCGCCCGCGGGGAGTGCGGGGCGCGGGGCAGGGCTGAGGAAGAGGTTACGGACCCCGGCGGGGGGGATGGGCCGCGCGCAGCTGGGCTCGCTGTGTTTACATCTCCGCGCGAGTCACCTCTGCCGAGAAGCGGACTGAACTGACCCGCCTTCTCCCGCGGGGAGGCCAGGGCGGGGGTCCGGCTCCGGAGGAAGCGCGTCCTGGGAGGGTCCGGTAGGGCGGGAGGCTGCGGCCGACGCCGGGGCAGGGCGGCCAGCTCGGGGCGGGACCTGGGAGGCTCGGGCTGCTCGGGGTGGCTTGAAGGGCTGGAGAGCAGTTCCCTTCCCGCTGGCTTGACCGCCGCCTCCCACCTTCCCTTCCCAGGCTGCTGGCTCGCACGGCAGGTTGTACTCGGTCGTTCTTTTATTCTCGCGCTCCCCGCCGGCCCTCTGCTGCCACTTCCCCTACTCCCCGGGGGTAGGGAGGCTTGTCTCTGTCAGGAATCAGTTTTAAACAAAACAAAAACGGGCTCTGTAACACGCGCGCCCAGTGACCGCCTTCTGGATCCTCTCTTCGCGAAGCTGGCCCTTGGGGACCGTGCTAGCGGCTGTTTTGGGGGGCGCGGGCGGAGCGCGGGGAGGGTTCTGCTGGGGCTGCCCCAGCAGCTTTGCGAGCGGGGCAGCCGAGCCCTTCTCTTGCTCCAGTTGGGCATTTTTATTGCATGTCAGTAAAGGACGGAAAAAATATTCTAAAACGCCAAGAGTAATCCAGACTGCACAGTTTCTGATGTTTCTCATGGGCCAGTATCCTGGGCTCTCTTTTTTTAGATTCGCTGCAGAATAGCCTTCAAGTTTTAGTACCTCATTAAATGAATGAAGGGACACTTCATTGTAAAACTGTAGAATTTTCCTCCTTTCTTGTGGTAATGAGCATTTACTTGAGATGTGTGGTTTAAATTTTAATCCAGTGATGAGAGTACAGTAGTCGTGTGTTCGGTAATCAGATTTACTTTCCTTTTTGTCTGTGAGTCTCTTTGGAAAGGTAAATTAAGCACTTTCTCTAGTGCCATAATCACAGAAGAGTGCCCGAATCACAGGAGAATGTATGTACCCTTTACTAAGATATGATTGGATGTTTTTGTTTCAGAGTTTCTTTCCTCAGAAGGTAGAATGAGTTCATATAAAACTGGAAGCTGTTAAATTACATTTAAAGGAATTTAGGAATAATTAAAGTTTATGTATAGTGCAACACAGTTTACACAGTGTGTTCATATGAATATTATTGAAGTATCCTCCTAGTAAACAAATGAAATAGAAAATTTAAATATCTTGGGCATCAGAAATTTGAATGTCAACCTGTTTTTAAGTCAGCTTGTTTTTAAGCTTAGTGACTTACCTAATTGAGCAATCATCGCTTCTCATTTCCGACATATATACTCAAAAAATCAGAGTTTCGTTAGAAAGAATTTTTTTAACTTTGAGATTTTTCTATCCAAAGTTAATAGATTGGTAACTGTGGCTGTGGTAGGGCCTACCAGTCTTGATGGCCTTTACTAGCTCACAGATTTTACACCAAAGTTGTTTTGTTTGTTTGTTTTTTAACAGATTTATTGAGACATAATTCACATACCATTCCGTTCTCCAATTAAAATATACAGTTTGGTGTGTTTTTTCTTCTTAAACTCTTAACCAAGGATATGATTTATTGATTTCAGAGAGAAGGGAAGGGGTGGGGGGAGGGGGAAGAGAGAGAGAGAGAGGAAGAAATGTCCATCCTTTGCCTCTCATTTGGGCCCAGGCCAGGGATAGAACCCAAAACCTAGGTATGTGCCCTGACAGGGACTTGAACCTGCAACCTTTTGATGTACAGGACAATGCTCCACCCAACTGAGTCACCCCACCAGAGCAGTTCAGTGGTTTTAATATATTCACAGAGTTGTGCCAACTATCATCATAATCAATTTTAGAATATTTTCAGCACCCCAGGAAGGAACCACATACCCATTAACAGTCACTCTCCATTTCCCCCCAACATTCCCAGGCCTAGGCACCATTGATCTACTTTCTGTCTATAGATTTGCCTATTCTGGGCATTTTATATAAATGGAATCATACAATATGTGATCTTTTGTGACTGGTTTCTTTCAATTAGCATAACGTTTTCAAAGCATCCATGTTGTAGCATGTTGCGTTATTTCATTTCTTTTTATTGCTGAGTAATATTCCATTGTATGGATATACCACATTATTTATCACTTAGTTGATGGATATTTGAGTTTTCACTTTTTAGCTATTATGAATAATGCTGCTGTGAACGTTTGTGTACAGATTTTTATGTGGGCGTGTTTTCATTTCTTTTGAGTATCTCCACTTTTAAAAAAAGTAATACCCCAAATTAATCCATTTTGAGTGCAACAATTCAATAATTTTTCGTAAATATGTAGAAGTGTTAAACTATCACCACAAACCAGTTTTAGAACATTTTTATTACCTCTAAAATTTCCCTCTAGCCTTTTTGTAGTTAACCCTTGTTTTCACCCCCAGCCCTAGGCAACCACTGATTTGTGCTTTGTCTCTATAGACTTGCCTTTTCTGAATATTTTATATAAATCGAATCATACCAGATGTAGTTTTGTGCATCTGGCTTCTTTCACTTATAATATTTTTGGAGTTTATCCTGTTGTAGCATGTATCTGTGTTTTGTTCTTTTTTATTGCTGCATAAGTATTCTATTGTATGGATATACAACATTTTGTTTATCTGTTGACCAGTTGATGGGCATTTGAATTGTTTCCAGATTTTGTTTTTTTCTTTTTAAAGATTTTTAATTGATTTTTAGAGAGAGAGGAAGGGAGAGGAAGAGGGAGAGAGAGACACAGCATGCCCCCTATGGGAGATTGAGCCTGAAACCTGGGCTTGTGCCTCTATAGCGAATTAAACCGGCAACCCCTTGGTGCATGGTACAAGGCCCAACCAACTGAGCCACACCCACCAGGACCATTTCCAGTTTTTGACTGTTGCAAATAATGCTGCTTGAGCATTTGAGTGCATGTCTTTATGTGGACATATGGTTTCATTCTCTTGGGTACATACCTAGGAATAGAAATGCTGTGTCATCTGCTTAACTTTTTAAGAAACTGCCAACCTGTTTTCTAAAGTGGCCATACATTTTACATTCCTAACATCAATGTATGAGTGAGTTCCAGCTTCTTCACATTCTTGCCAACATTTGCTATTGTCTATCTTTTTTATTATAGCTATTCTAGTGTGTATGAAGTGGTTAACTCATTGTGGTGGTTTTAACTTGTGTTTTCCTAAAGACTCAAGGTGTTGAGCATTTTTTAATATAATTATTAGCCATTTATATATCCCTTTTGGTGAAATAGATATTAAAATCTTTGTGCATTTTTGTCTTTATTATTGAGTTGTATATTTGTTCTTGATATGTTCTGGATGCAAGTCCTATATTACATAGATGATTTGCAAATATTTTATCTCAAGTCAGTGGCTTGTCTTTTCATTTTTTATTGGACTCTTGAAGCACAAAAGTTTTAATTTCTTTTGGCAGAAGTTTAAATTTTGATGGAGTTTAATTTTCCAAGTTTTTATTGTATAGATTAATCTTTTTTTTTTAAATATATTTTTTTATTGATTTCAGAGAGAGGAAAGGAGAGGGAGAGAGAGAGATAGAAACATCAGTGATGAGAGAGTCATTGATCGGCTGCAGCCTACAACCCGGGCATGTGCCCTGACCCGGAATCTAACCCTGATCGCCTGGATCCTAGGTTGACGCTCAACCGCTGAGCCACGCCTGGCCGGGCAAGATTAATCTTTTGTTATAGGAACCCTCTGCCTAAGTCAAGATCTTGAGGATTTTCTCTTTATTTTAATATATCTTTATTGATTTCAGATTGAGGAAGGGAGAGGGAGAGAGAGAGACAGAAACATCAATGATGAGAGAGTCATTGATCTGCTGCAGCCCCAACCGGGGCATGTGCCCTGACAGGGAATTGAACTCTGATCGCCTGGATCCTAGGCCGATGCTCAACCGCTGAGCCATGCCCGGCTGGGCGAGGATTTTCTCTTTTCCTTTATTTTCTTCTATATGTTTTATAGTTTTTGCTCTTATATTTAGATTTATGATCTATTTTAAGTTCATTTTTATGTATGATGTGAAATAAGGGTCTAAATTCAGTTGCATATGGGTTGTTTTAGCACCATTTGTTGAAAAGACTGTCATTTCTCCATTGTAAAGATTTATTCTGCACTCTCAGTTATTTTCCATTATCTGTATGCCTGTTCTTATGCCAGTACCATCTCTGTCTTGGTTAATGTGCTTTATGGTAACTTATGAGACCAAGTAGTGCTAGCCCTCCAATTTTGTTCTTTTTCTTTTTTTAATCCTCACCCAAGGATATTTTTTCATTGCTTTTCAGAGAGAGTGACATCAGTGTGAGAGAGACACATCGATTGGTTGCCTCTTGCTTGCCCACTGACCAGGGCCAGGGATTGAGCCTGCAACGGAGGTACATGCCCTTGGTTGGAACCGAACCCTGGGGCCCTTTAGTCTGAGGGCCTACGCTCTAACCATTGAGCCAAACCTGCTAGGACCAATTTTGTTCTTGTTTTTAAAACTTGTGGGTATTCTGGGTCCTACATAAAAAGGATTGGCTTGTCAGTGTCTGCAAAAAAATCTTGGAATTTCGATAGGGAATACATTGAATCTGTAGATCAGTGTGGGGAGAATCGCCACCTTACAACATTGAGT